TTAGACATTCCGTTATATCAGTTGGTATGTCCGGTCATATTTCACGGTAGGAATCTTGATCACCTCCTTTAGGTTCTTCGTTCAATTCTATTCGCATAGTTTCTGTTTGGCCACTTGTGGAGGTTTGCTAGAGAAGAAATATTTATCTACACTTTTCCCCTCAATGATGCTTTTTACCTGACTTCCTTGCTGGGAAGTATTACCAGAGTTCTCTTCTCTAGCTTTTCTTTCAGCTTCCATTTTCTGCACAAACGTGAACTCATCCGCATAATGCTGAAGAAAATGAGCAATTCGAATGAATGAGTAACAAACGTCGCTTACCGCATCTCTGGCAATTTTGAAAGGATCCATCTCTTGGCTAGGTTTCCCACTGCAATATGGCGTAGGTGGTTCCGGCTAGAAATGAATATTTTTTAGCGAAAGAATTGTGATTTTCCAAAAATTACATCAAACAAATGTCCCAATGTCCATGCTCGTGGCTGGTACGTTTCCATCACATTCCATTCGTCAAATAATGTACGTTGACTTCGAGACAAATGTCCACCAAATAGTCGATTCCACTTAAACGAACCTGTCTAAAACCTTTCACTAAGATCTTATTTAGGACCAGTTGAACTCGTCCATACGAATAAAACTTACGTGTTGAAGTAGTATTACGTAAAGGGTGAAAATCCATGCCATAGGATTATAACAAGAAGTAGGTTGACGCAGAAATGGACTCAAAAACAGTTGCATTGCAGCAAATGTGCACGCAACACATAGTGTTACGCTAAATCTTACGCTGAAATGGTAAGACATCGATTCATCTGTTTGATAGATGTGAACGGCTACCATACTCAGGAGTAGATGAGCGCATCCTACTGCCAATCACATTGGAATAAAAGTGAGAAATAAGGCATACCAAATCAATGAACACAGTATGATATGAAATTATTTATGAGCATTTCAGATCAAACATGATAAAGGCATGGACAAGTGAGATTGTGCGAAAAAGAGATTACATGCAAAGAGATCAAAAAAATTAACCGAAAAAAAAAGATATGAGCAAGAAATAAGTGAACAGATTGCATAGAAAAAAAGGCCAAAACTGAAAGAGATTAATTGAAGTAGAAAAAAGAATGGTTGAAGGAATGAATGAGCCTATTAAGAAAAAGATGATGGGAACACAGCAATCCAAATGAAAAATTTAGACAAACAACAGAGCTTAAATTTCAGATTTTTACAAGCTTAAGAAGGCAGAAACTTGACGATCCATCCCTGAAAGAATTTCAGGTAGT